GTGGACAGTGAGACCTGAAGGGGGTGACTGGGAGGAATGGCCTGATCCGAACCAGATCAGGGTTCTGTTTTTGGCTTCTGTGCAAATCACAGTTTGTTCATACCGAACACTATTTTTGAACATAAGGGTGCCCATACACACACATGGTACCAGGACACCGTAGGTTGATGGTCAGTTGTCTTATTGTATTATCAGATTTCTGATCTATCCAGAACATTTGCATGAAGAGAGGGCTAGAGCCATCAACTGACCACCGCCTGGTAATGAGTAGGATCAGGTGGTGGGGGAGGATATTGAACCTGGCACGCCTAAATGTGCCTGGCAGAGGCTCCGCTCTGGGAATTCTTCAACTAGAATGTTGACAGCAGTCTGAAGGAGGCTGATATTGAGTCTATATCGACCATATTCTCCATCTCCATTGCTGAGGCTGCGGCAAAGATGCTATTGCCTGTTGTGGTGGTAATACCTGAACCAAATGGTGAACAGAGGAGGTAAGGGTAAACCTCAAGCTGAAGAAGAATTTTTATTGGGCTTACTACACTGTGGGCAGCTGATGGTTACCGGCAGACCAAGAGAAGGCGGCTCGTGCAGTAACTGAAGCAAAAACTTCATGGGAAGAGACTTTCAGTTTGTTTTGAAGCAATTCTGGCAAACGAGTGGTACAGGAGGGGAAAGCAGAGCACTACTTACAGTGTGTAGTGGGTGTTGGTGCTGCTGACTTGAATTCATGATGTAGTCAGGCATTGCAAGGAATACTTTAAGCATGTTAATCCACTGACACATCTTCTGTAGAGGACCAAGAGCCTAGCCATGCCTTTGAGGTTGAGGAGGTTTGCCCTGAGCTCGTAAAGGCTCCAAATCTTGTGGGGCTGTTTTGATTGATACTCCTCTGCAGCACTGCATGGAGATCTGGGGTGGTGAGTTCCATCTTTAAGAAGGGGGGGATCAGAGGGTTTCTTTCAATTCAATTTTATTTATACAGCGCCCAATCACAACAACAGTCGCCTCAGGGTACTTTATACTGTAAGGTAGATCCTACAATGATACCTACAGAGAAAAACCCAACAATCATATGACCCCCTATGAGCAAGCACTTTGGCGACAGTGGGAAGGAAAAACTCCCTTTTAACAGGAAGAAACCTCCAGCAGAACCAGGCTCAGGGAGGGGCGGGGCCATCTGCTGCGACTGGGTGGGGTGAGAGAAGGAAGACAGGATAAAGACATGCTGTGGATAAAGACATGGGGGTCACACTCCTCAGCTTCCCTAGAAAGGTGTCTTCTCAGGGACAGCTCGTCCATTAGTCAAACCTCAGATGCAGGATGGAACAAGAGCTGCTACTTCTCCATATCAGAAGAACACATCGGACATCTGACAAGGACGCTGCCTGGCTGCCTCCTAGGTTAGATATTGTCAGCATGACCCATCTGCAGGAGGCTTTGGAGCAAGTCCATAACACACTGGTGGGGTGAGGTGGCTGGGGAGAGGGAGATCAGGGCTTTTCTGCTTAGGCTGTTGCCCCCATAACAAGGGAGGGAAGGATGGACGGATGATTGACTTGTTCTTTTATTAAGGTCCTTTTTTCCCAAATTTTGGATTCACTGTCACTCTGCATCATCTGGTCTCCAACCATCATTTCTTGACACATTTTAAAGATGCTCAAACCAATAGAGTGCACCACACCATCATTTGCCTCAGCAGAGTAAGAGAATGTAAAGATGTTTTTAATAAACTAGCAAAAAACAAACAAACAAACAAAAATGTTTTTAATTTGTGTATAAATTCATGAAAGATGTGGCAAAGAACGCTCAAACAAGAGTACATCTGCTGTTGTTGTTGTCTTACCCTGGAGGCTAGCAGAGTCAGCCCCCTGTCTGTTGTCAAAGAGCGGACAGTAATCTCCATAGAAGTCGGTATATAGCCCTCCTTCATCGCCTCTTACTGAGCCGACAGATGAGGAGGACATTAGAGAAGACTGGCTCTGGCTTAGTGTGGAGCACTTCACCAGATTGTTTAGTTCCACCGTTGGCTTTTCAGGCTCCACTTGGGATCCTGTCTCACCCTGTGGTCCCCCCAAACCTTCTGAACCGATTGATGATTTCCCTACAGAGCTCCCCCCTGGCGAACCCTTTACGTCTGCTCAGAGATAACAGGGGCGGGAAGAAGGTAATCATGTCAGCCATGTGCCAACCGATGAAGTCAAAACACACATATGAACATATAAGAAACATGTGCTCACCAGCATCGCTGTTTTCAAGAGACTGGTCCTCTTCAGACACTTTGAGAAAGACCTCCTCTAAGGTGGTGTCCATTACCCCAAAACTAGTCAGTGCCAGGGAGTCCAAGCTCTTCTCTAAAGCCTGGAGGCACAATGGCAAATTAGTAAATAAGGCAAAATGAGAGTTTGAAGATTGTTGTGTACAAAGTCTGTCTTTATGTATGACCGCCTTTATTCTTCAGCACAGAATGAAGAATTAACTTTATTTGGAAGTAGTCTTCATGTATACTTATTCAGGCTTTTTGAAGGAGATCCCAAAGCTTATCTGTGGCTGTTTGCTGCCTTTTGCTTCATTCTCTGTCAAGATGATTCCACACCGCTACAATAACATTGAGTTCCTAGGCAGGTCAGTGAATGGCTGATAGTGTTTCACTGGGAATTTGTCTACCCAGATATGCTTTTACTGCACTGCAGTGTGTTTGGGATCACTAAAAAATGAAGCCAATGCTTACCAGACGGTACTCCATGATAGATCACAACCTGTCAGTACTTTTTCCCTTTCAAATTTCCATCTATTTGAACAATATCGGCAACACTGCTGGCTTAATTATGAGATCGACCTGTAAAACATCATAACAAATTTATGTCAAGATGTTTTAAAGGTCGATAAATATGCTCAGCTTTCTTTTGATTGCCACAAACTGAGGATTTGATACAAAAATGAAACGCTTGGCTTCATTCTTAAGGCCTGTTTCAGTCTAGTTCTTGCACAACTTGGCATACTTCCTTAAGAATGGCTTCTTGACAGCCACTCTTACAGTTAGATCATTTCTGATGAGACTTCAGCAAACAGTAGGTCAAATGAAGGGCCGGGTGCACGTGGTCCTGTGTCAGGTGCTGTATTTTTCCCCCGTTTCTAAAGGACGTGGCTTTTAGATACTGGTTATCTGCTCCGGGAGGTTTTCACACTTGTTGTTAATCTCTCTTCCACAGCATGTCTTTATCCTGTCTTCCTTCTCTCACCCCAACCAATCACAGCAGATGGCCCCGCCCCTCCCTGAGCCTGGTTCTGCCGGA